TAATTATCTTTTATTGCTGTTTTACCCCTATCTTTATCCCTCGCAACCTTATTGTTATTTCCTTCTCTATATAAACTAATCTGGTGATGGTATTCTAAGTAAAGGAGGCTTGAGGTAGGAGTTGGTATTTAATTGATAATTTAATAAAAATTTATTAGCTAAACTTGCCTGCATGAAGATTCTGAAGAGGCAGAGATTGCAACTGAAACATCTATCTCTTTGTAAGGGGGTAAATTGAATGATAGCAAATAGAGTGACAAGCATTCAGACCAAAAACTGCAAAAATAATGTTTTCTTTACACTCGTGTGTGTGTGTGTGTGTGTGTGTGTGTGTGTGCGTGCGCGCATACACACACACACACACAGCCATATATACACATATACATACACATACAAAAGGGAGAAGTGAAAAAAAAGGGAGCAATGTTAGATTCCTTTATTTTTCCATTGGGCACTGGACCCTCAATTCATTCTAGGAAATTGGCTGATTTGAAATTAACAAAATGAAACTTACCAGTGCTTTTTCAAAAGAGATAGAAAACTAGCAGTAAGAATGTGCCTACTAAGCATTTGATTGGATCAAATTTATGGCAAATCCATGGCTAATAAATATTTGTCTTTCCTTATCTGTACTAAAGACCATAGGCTATGAAAGTGAATACAGAAACACAGTAATGTTAGGCGGTGAGAATGGCAAAAAATAAAAAAATAAAAAATTTAATTCATTAAATCAGATATGAAAATCTATAGTCAAATCATGATTAAAGACTTCTGCTAAGAATTTTAAGTTAATGTTGCCTCTTAGTTTTAACATTCCCACTGTATACTCAATTTGTCTATAGAACAATCAGTAATCAAAACAACTGCTCAAAAACCAGTTTCTGGATGGATTTCATCCTAAATTATATTATTTCTGGATTTTATGGGAATTTACTAAATGTAGTTTTAATTATTATTATTAATATTTTCTTAGAAATCATTCATTCTAGATAAACCTTTACAAATACTTAAAATTTAAACTAATTATAGCTTACCTTAAAAACAGGTAATGGTAAAAGAGCAAGTAAAATAAACAAGGCAAAGCAAAGACTCATTAAAATGGCAAATTGTATGAAAAATGTTCCATAGTGGTATGGCTAGTGTATCTCAAGTGTTCAGAAATAAAGAAAAGGGTAATGTTGAAATAGTAAGATTTTTGATGCTCCCGAAGGCATTTTAATCCCAAATGCCACCGAAGTCAAAGTTTTATTCTTATCAAGCACCATTGAAAATTCTTGATAGTCCATTTTAAATTTTCTCCATAATCTAAAACTGTTGATTTAAACTCAGCTCCTGATTTATCATCCTATGCAGTCTATTTATTGTGACTTTTTAAGAGCCAGTATCTTCTTTGATATAACATCTCCATTTGACCTATTTAATGTTATTTATTTCTTAAAGAGCTTATAAGTTCCCTAAGACAATATAGCCAAAAGAAAGACATTTGTCTCTCCTGGCTCTTGTTTATGTCCTAGATTCCCTGTTCTGTGGAAATGTTAGCAGTTTTGGGCACAGACTAGTATGTCTATTTTCTTGAGCCATCATTTATTCTTGGTACTTGATAATCACCAATAACTACATTTTTATTTGTTATGAAGATGAACATATGATTGACAAATGAAAACATGGTAGTAAGTAAGTATTGTTCATTTGGTGATCTTAAAGTAAAAATTCATTTGCTAGTGTTTGCAATTGGTTTTTTGGTAAAAAAAATAAAAAATAAAAATAAAAAAAAATTCTCCTAAATATGGTGCAGCTTTGGAAGTACAGGTATTAGGATCTTGGAAACAGAACTCTCCCTGGTTGTTTTAGCTGGAACCCTAAAATAAAAGATTTCAAAGTAAGATATGAAAACACCCTCCAGTTTTTAAATGAAAAGGTGGGATAAAATCAGTTATGCGGCTCTTAAGCTTCTTAACCATGTCAAAGATATAAAAGAATTGGGAGAGTGGAAAGTAAGGAGAGGAAGTTTTTGGAGAGTTGGTGTGCTGAGTATCCAGTCACACCTCCAAAGGGAAGGAGCAGGGAAGCATATTTCTTCATCTGAATCCAAGAGAGAAAGAGACTTCAAGGAGTTGCCATTTAAGAACTGCTCTGTGACTCATGCCTGGAAAGCATGGAGCTTGAAATTGATTGGCCAACTGCTCTGAAGACGTGATGATGAAGGTAGCTACATTCTCAGGTTTGTTTGTTTTTTGGAGCAAATGTGTTTGCTTTAAGTGTATGTCATGGATCACAGGTAGAGACAGCCGACAGGAGCTCAGTGATCCCAATAGTGAAAAGAACTGCCATCTTCTCAGGAGCTTTACGCAGAGAGCTTCGCCCAAGTCAAATGATCTGCAAATGAGAGACACCCTCATTCCCACTGCAAGCTGCCAGCCTACAGCAGGACTAAACTGAGAAAGAAAAGTAGCCATCACTTTGAAATGTAAAGTTTTTATTACTCGACTAGACTGGATGTATTAATTGTTGAGTATTTTAAGTACCTGTATATGAACAAAAACATGGTATCTGCCCTAAATTTCTTGCATGGTCATAGAATAAATTAAGTATCCTGAAAGACAACAGTAAAGTTTATTATTACATTTGCCCAACTTAATGATTTTACATGTGTGTCTATGTGTATATGTGTGTTTGTGTGTGTACATATGGCAAGATGGTGATCTGAAAGAATAGAAGAGTTGCATGATGTTGGGAAATGATATTGAGCATTTCTTTTGATCCCCAGCTTATCATTTCTTTTTAGACAGCGTTTCTACCCATTCTACTTGGCCCTATCCATACTTCAGTGAGAAGATACTAAAGTCAGGCTAAAAAGAACAATAGGCAGGATTATTTTTGACACATTGTCTTATTCATGTGATTTTTTTCTCTTCTCCAGAATCGAAAAAATTCTTTTTTGTAGCTTTTCTCGATTTGATATTTTGCCACCTTCTTTCTTCCTTTGTCTAAAACTCAAGTAGGGGTATTCAAATCAAAGGGCCTTGATTTAACCTACAAACTGGATCACACTTTACTAAACATCTGAATATTCATGGTTCTATTTTTAGAAGGTTATCATTTCTTAATAGAATAGAATCGATTAAGTAATAAAAGTAGATATTGTATGTTAATGTAATGTTTTCTAAGGCTAATACACTAAATAAGCTTTAATAAAATTTAAATACATAAGAATAATCTCTAAAATGTTATCCAAATATATGTTGTTGTTATTACTTCCAGTTTGGTTTCCTGGAGATACTTTGACCTCTAAGTATTGCTGGGCTTAATTGGGCTGTAGCTATATTTACCCCTTTATTTAGTCTCTTTATAAACTTGGGACTCCTTAGAATGTTGGAGAGATAATTACAGGCAAGAATGGATAGAGTGTTATATACTATAGACAGATGTTAGAAAAAATAGTAGTAAAGTGAAAACAACATAAAACCCTTTGGAAAGCATATAGTAGAAAAACTGGAAGCCAATGCTGATGATGTGTGCATGAACAAAAGAAGAGATGACATAGGTATCTACTTCATAAATTAGGTCTGGTGGAGCCCTCTAGGATGATCCCATAATGCCCTCTATAAAATATACTTTTCATTCTTGACCTTAATAGAAATTGTGTATTTTAGTTAAGACAAATCAACATATTTCTGAAGTCACTCTACTTCTCCCTCCCCCTCACACACACAAACTTAAGGGGAGAAATTCAATTTTTAATATAGTTTGTCTCAGTGCTTTTGTACTATTTAATAATTCTTATTAAGGGAGATTTTTGCTTATTATTTACAAAAGTGATTTATATTGCAATCTATGTAAATGACTTTTTCTCTGAAGTTCATTTGTTGTATACAAGTGTATTTGTAAACAAATATTTGTATTTATTACAAAAATTAGCTGATAATGATATTGCTAAAAATTGTTACTGGAACATATACTTTAGGAAATTAAATTATTAAATATTTCTAGCTGTGCTTATAATTTTGTCACAGTGAAGCATACTGAAAAGCATGTCTGGCTAGTACAAATCTCTAATCTGCCACTTAATAGCTTTGAGATTTTAAGGTACTTACCTTTCTGAGTGTCGTCTGTATCTTACCTATAATATGGAAATAGTACTTATTCTCCTGCTTAAATGATAGAGTTATTGAAAAGATAAAGATAAGGAAGTATAGAAAGGGTAATATATATCTGTATAGATATAGATATTCCTTTATATATACTTTTTCATTATTATGAGATTAAATGCACAAAAGTATCCAATTGTGCTTTCTCCTTTCCATTGCTGAGAAGTGTTAATTGAATGAAGATACAAGTATATTTTCAATCAACAGGAGGATTTATTAGGTCCCACAATTAAAGGCAATTCATGAATTTAAGGGAAAAACAGGAATTTCAATAGTTTTTATTCACTCAGGAGAATGGAGTCAAAGCTCTTAGAACGGGGACATCACAAGTCTTATCTGCTGAAAGAATTATAGAGAGATTTCCTGTATATTCTATGTAGACATCTTAGCCTGTATTTTGGCTTTTGGATAACAAACCTTACTATCTTAGTAGTAATATAAAGTAAAATTATTTTTTAAAAAGAACGACATATGCTTTGCTTTTTTCTTATAGAAATGTTGTCAGCCAAAAATAGGGATAAGTGACTTCTTGAAACAACAAAAAGCATTGTCCAGCTTCCAATTTTAAGAATCATAAACTAAGAACTTTTGACATGAAATTTAGAAAGCAAGATAGGTACCTTCTGACATCGTGTGCTTAGTTCATAAATAACATTTTCTGTAAGAAGCGTTACATATTTTTATTCATATTTATAATACCTCTCCATTAGAGAATAGTATTACACCTCCCCCCCCCACAAAAAAAAATTAACTTTCAGCATGTATGCACAGGTCAATGAGGAAGACCTGATAAATAACCCCCTTTGGATTTTAAAAACTATTTCATCATTAATATTAATTAACACTTTACAGTGTCTTCTCTGTGAATGATTATGAAAGCATTTTCCAAAAGATAGGAGAAATACACTCCACGAACTCCAGGAATTTGCAATTTGGGAAATTATTTCTATGTTCCATTTAGGTAAGAGAAATTTCCTTTGTTTAATGTCTTCAGCTTGAATTAATGTTTCTCTAGCTTTTATTTATTTTGTAGGAGGGTGCATCATAGACTAAGAGTAAAGCAAAATTTTACTTTATTGTTAATATGAATGTATGAGCCTTTATGATATGAACCATCTACATATTTTATAGGTGGCCGAGATAATATTAGGATTGTAATTGGAAGTCTGGGTTGCAGTTCAAATATTTTGATTCTCAGTTTACTAGACCACATACATTGGTAATGATTGCAGGTTTTTGTGACTGTTGTTTGAAATGGTTGCTGACTTATGTAGGATCTCTTGTAGTTTGAGGGTGGATTTTGGCATGACCTACTTCAATATAATTCCTGTTAGTAACTCCATTGAAGTGTTAAATGATAAATCCTTTGAAGTTTTTTCCTTGGGTAATCCTAACTTAACCATATTATGAAAATAAAAATAACTCTCTAAGGAGGCAGGAGTGGGGTGTGTTTGTGTGTGTGTGTGTGTGTGTGTATGTGTGTATGTGTGTGTGCGCGCACGCATATATGAGTGTGTACACACGTGCACACAGTCTTTAGTCCTTCTGAAGAGCAGATACTTTGGGCTTCCTTTTGTCTCTAAGAATATTACTTAAAACTGTAGTCAAAATTTTCCTGTTTAATGCAAGGATTTGTGAGAATGCTTTTTCATTTCAGGGCATATATATAAAATTCAAATATCGCAACACTTAAAAGAAATGATTCAGTTTTACTCTAAAGCAGAGTGACAACACATCTTTATCCCACTACAAAGTATCATGATGAGGGTGATTCACTACAATTGTGATAAATGTTGTCAGAAATAAAATAGCTTGTCTCTAAACTTTAAGTGTATTTGCACCTAAAATTTGAGACGGTGGGAATCATCTGCAAATAGTATAAGTGATCACCTAATGCGTTCTCCATTGAAAGCAAAGATAACTATGTGTCTTGGCTAATTACAGACTGTCAAACCTAGGGATTCTTTGTAGGTCATTGTAGCTGAGAAGGAATATAAAATAAAGAACATATGAAAATGGATTTTCAAAAGGTCCCAGGTTTGATTCCGCACAAAGAAAATGATTCTCATCATTATAACCAAGTGTTTTTTACTGACTGCCTTCTGTTCTTTTCTCTCTTCTCTTCTCTTCTCTTCTCTTCTCTTCTCTTCTCTTCTCTTCTCTTCTCTTCTCTTCTCTTCTCTTCTCTTCTCTTCTCTTCTCTTCTCTTCTCTTCTCTACCTTCCATCAGCCTGTACATCTCTCCATTTCAGGAGAAGGAGTTAACACCATTATGATTTTTTTCTCTAATCAAGCTCCATACTCTCTTATGTGAACAATGAGGTGACAACCCAGTTGTACTAATGTAGTCTCACATGTGGAGATTCTTTAGCTATCTTGTCTATTGAGGGTTTGCTTTTTCCTTTTAAAATCTTCTTTAGCTGAGGAAGAATTAACTCATAATCTACCTTAATTTTCACAAGCAAAGGTAAAAGTTGTTGTTTTAAAATAAGCCATCTTATTTTCAATAGCTAAAATTAAATGATTTACTTTTCCCCATCATGGTAACCTGGATTCTCCTGTCTTTTGAAATGGAAACTGTCCTAACCCCATAACCTCAACACCACTGTGAGTAAAACTCTTTCTAATTATATGGCTGTGTAGTGTGCCCATTAGCATTGCTAATCAGCCTACTGCAGTGAATTTGTATCTTCAATACTGATGTTCATAGACTGTCCATTGACATAATTGCACCTCTGCACCAGTGCTTAGATGCTAGTGATTTAAAACCACCAGTCTGAAATTCATAGTGCATACCACAGTATATTTTTTGTATAATTTTGTGTCACTAACTTGAGTTTCCATAAGGTTTATTTATCCAAAGTGTTCATGGTGACTAATGCTATGTTATACTGGATCTTTAACTTAAAAAAAATGTTTTTATTAAAGACTTGATCTCACTTGTTTTTTCTGTATATTTGTTTCTTTTCTGACTGAAGGCAATCATCTCTTCTGGGGAGATGTTGATTAATCTATATTAAAGAATAGCTGATGATTTTCCAAAATCACTTTCAAAAAGTCTGTGTGAGATCATTATTGTTACAAATAAATATTTATTAAATGTCCATTGGGTCGTGACATTATACTAGGTTTTACAGAGATTTTACTGACGATAAACAATGGTATATAACATCCAGAGGTGGGCTAAGGTATAAAAGGGAGAGGATTTGTGTGAATATAGTTTTATACATATATAAATATGAAGAAAATTATTGGATAATTACATGGATGGATATTTTGAGCAGATATATGGTATACCCCTAATGCATGTGAATGTGACAGAAATATGATGAAAGAGTATATAGGGAGAAATTTCTATATTTACTTCTGCAAACTAAAACAAATCTTCATGTAAAATCTAGCATCAACCTATGAACCAGGAGGTCACGGTTCAATTCCTCGTCAGAGCATATGCCTGGTCTGTGAGCTCAGTCCCCAGTGTGGGGCATGCAGGAGGCAGCCGATCAATAATTTTCTCTCATCATTGATGTTTCTATCTATCCTTATCCCTTTCTCTCTGAGATCAATAAAAAGCTATATATTTTTAAGCCCTAACTGGTTTGGCTCAATGGATAGAGCGTTAGCCTGCAGACTGAAAGGTCCCAGGTTTGATTCCAGTCAAGGGCATGTACCTTGGTTGCGGGCACATCCCCAGTAGGAGGAGTGCCGGAGGCAACTGATCGATGTTTCTAACTCTCTATCCCTCTCCCTTCCTCTCTGGAAAAAAATCAAGAATATGTATTTTAAATATATATATTTAAAAATAGAATAAAGCAGAATATACTAGTAATAGCAACAAGTGATTAAGAATAGTTTTATGTGCCCCACATTTGACACTGCCTTATTTAGTAGAAAATATAGTTGAGTATATTGTTGAAAGAATAAACGAGTCTAGGACATTAAAAATGATCAAAATAAGATTTTTGCAAGTCCATTGGCATTAAAATGACATAGTAAGAGTTTCATGTTGAAAAGATTACTGGCAGATCCACAGGGAGGATTACTAGGACCACTATAGTAATCAATGTGAGGAAATTATACTAGTCTAAATGAAGTTCATAAAACATATATTCATAAATTTATAAAGAGGGATTTGAGAAATAAAGATATTACATAATCACCATAAAAAAAGCAGGTATTGTAAGATGTTAGCTAAGTGAACAACACCTCTGTTACAGTAATACAAAGAAGTTTCATGGAGAGGGAAGCATTTCATTCTGATAGACTTGTGTTTAAGGTTCTATTTTGTCCCTTTCCCTTCATTATATATTTAGTGTAATCACTGTGGCTTATTTGCAAAAAGATGTAGTTGGCAAACCACTGGGTGTTTTTTTAAGGCAGGGCAAGTAGGTTAATTTGAGAGGGGTGATGTATTTGTGAAGCCAGTAGTAGACGGTAAGCATATACCTGTTGTTAGGGGAAAGATTGTGATCGATCTTGATTGTCTAGTATAGAATTTTAGATTCTTTATGTCATTATTTTTCAAGTTTTTTAACTATGATTCACGGGATACATTTACAATGTGACTCAAAACACCTGCCTGAGGAAAAGATTCACAAAGATTAGTTACCCTGTGAAAATACTGTTCTTAGCAAATAGAAAGCAATTGAGCAACCTTCAAATAGCATGAGGTGTAATAAATAAATCAAACCCACATGTAACCATAGTTGGCAGTATATTTTAAAATGAAAAGATTCTGAATATAGGGAGATCAGACAAGTTGTTGCATTAGCCTAGACATAATGGTCTTATCAATTGAAAAATAGTTCAGAGAATTGTTGTAAGAATTGCTGACAGCAGAACTAGTGACTTTTGTCGTCTGAAAAAAATCTTTATTATCAATAGTGTTAGAACCTTTAACAAAAATGGAAGAATATGGCATCTGGTCTTTCCCCTTAGGTGTATGAATTCTCATGACATATTGCAAAGGGACAGATTGTTACCCACATTTAAGGTTGGTCATCTGCCTTTCTGCCTTTATGTTAAAGAAAAAAAACGGCAAATGATTCAAGATAAGTACTGAGAGCATTAGGGCATTTACAGAGGTACTTGGGATCTTAATATGAAGCTAAAGTTGGAAAAAAGTAATTTAGGAATTGTTGGCATCATGGCTATGGATATTAAAACTAGCAAGATTAAATAGACTGCACATAGACATTTGCTGGCTATTGATTAAGTAAGGGCAAATAAAGCAGTAAAAGTAAATTGGATGGGAATTGGGTTATGGTATTTAAAATACCCTGGACTTTGAGGTAAAATACAGAAATAAAGTGTGGTGAAACATTCTTCTAATTCAATATTAAATTAAAAGTTAAAAGCATAATTTTTGAGAGAAAGAGAATAGCCATGGTGTCAGTTCATAGAACTGAGTCTGAAGCAGTTTGGAAGGAGGATATTTTATAATAGCATGCTGATTATTCTGTTTCTTAATATTGCAGAAAAGTACAGAAGACTAAAAAGGGAAAAGGGGTATTAATCTTCTAACACCAAAGCTGTTTCATTGATAAGAAATGATGAATCACTTCTTTGTCAAAAGGGAGACTATAATTTTAAATTGACTGAGTTTTATTTTGAGGCACATTGATGATCATAAAGCATCTTTATGTTGATGCTTCTAGCTTGGTTTTTGTTTGTTTATTTTTTACTTTCTATTCTCCCCTACCCAAGTTGATTATTTTTTAAATTAAATTTTTGATTTTGAGATCATTGTAGATTTACATATAGTTGCAATAAATAATATAAAAAGATCCCAAGTCCTCTTTATTCAGTTTTCCCCAGTGGTCATATCTTGCAAGACTATATAGTGCCATATCACAACTGGGACATTGACATTGATGCAGTCGAAATATAGAACATTTCCATGACCACGAGGATCTTTCATGTTTGTTGCCTTTTAAAGTCACA